AAGAGGGGAGTAGGATATATCTTTACTGTGTCTGCTGGCCTGGAAAATAAATACCGCTGTTGTGCAACTCTGCAGCTGCTCACTCTCTCAATTTGTTGTTTTCATTCTGGTTTTTATGATTTAATCTCATATCCTTACAGTTAATCTGAAAAGGGTTCAGGCAGCTTTATTTATTAGTCTTCCTTCAGATCATGAGCTTACACATCATGATCTTTTCCTATACCAAGAACCAATTCTCTTTCTGTGACAAGGCTTACCCTCTGATAGATGTAGCAGGAATAAATTGACTCAAGAAAATGAACATTCTCACAATATTTTCACTTCCTTTTTTTTCATTGAATCTCATGAAAAATATCCTTGAGGATTTTTTTCTTCCACTAATACAATGTATGAAAAATATATATTGTAAAATTAAAGTCATCATCTTCAAATTTTGAAGAACATTTTCAATTCATAAAATACAGATTAGGGAAAGTAATAATATTTTTTTTAAACCCTAAGAAATTCACATCTACCTAAACTACATAACACCATTTCAGCTATATATTAATAGCTGTGTCATTGTAACCTTGCTTTGGGAAGATGCATGTGTCGTTTACTACTTTTAGAGAGCTATGTATATGCACAGAATAGTTTGTGAAGCAACACCACTGGAATGCAACAAAATATTTACAGTTTAAAACACTGAGTTCATATGTGGAAAATTACTGAAATGGCTTTACAATGGATCCTGCTGAGAGTAAGGAAAATAATTATTTTAAAAGCTAAGTATAGCAATACCACTTAAAGACCTAACAATTCAGGCAAAGAGAATGACAAAAAAGCTTCATATCAGCATTAGGTTTCTTGTTTCCCAGATTTTAAGATATTGTACACATTTTAATAGGACATTATAAACATGGGATTTGGAATGAAGAAGTCAACCATTTCACAAGCTGATTGCCTGCTGCAGAATGACTGAAAAAAAAAATATTATGTCTGTTCAAAAGATTTTCCTGCTAGAAATAAAAGAGATATTGTATGATGAGCAGTGTAGATCTTGGAAACAATAGACTACATGAAAGATCTTGATGAAAACAAAACAAAATCAGAACCCTTTACCTAATCCAGAATTAATGTGAGTCTGCAAATAAAGAACTGCAGCTATAAATCTACCATCTGTGCTCAGCAGACCTCAGAATAGACCTTCTGAGTCTATGGATTACTTAAAATAATATTTCACATTTCTTGAATTAACATCATTTTGCAATTTTCAGGGAATCTAGTGTTACACTCTATCAGCATTCACACAACCTGAACACAAGGTTAAGTCTGTGAAAACCACTACATACGATTACAGTTCAACTGTGCTTAGCTCAAAACCTCCATGTGGGACAAACTACATTAGTCTCCCCTCAAACAATGTCAAATACACCACGGTCATTCAGTGAATCACACACGTGCCTGCTGCCCCTGCCTTACCCACAGGTTTACTATATAAAAAGCAGTAGAGGCAGATAATGTGAATAATGTGGTAAAGCATTTAAACTGAAAGAGATTGATGCTAGATATAAGGAAGAAAATCTTTACTGTGAGGCTAGTCAGGAACAGGAACAGGTTTTCCAGAAAAGCTGTGGATGGCCCTGTCTCTGGAAATGTTCAAGGCCAGCCTGGATGGGGCTTTGAGCAGTGGTCCAGTGGAAGGTGTCCTTGCCCATGGCAGGTGGGGTGGATCCAGATGATTTTAAGGTTGCAGTCTAAGTCATGCTCTGATCCTATTATATGAACTAAAGAAAAAAAGTAATGAAAAACTGTTCTGCTCTTGGTAAGTACAACTTACTTCTGAATATTTTTTTTACATTTTATTTTTTTGGGTAATGGATCCAATACAAGAAACATGTTCTTGGAGAATGTGCAATCCAAAATCATCCCAGGCTTCTTCAGGCACCAAATTACAGATCAGTCAAAGATCTATAATCAGTACCTATATATCTGTCTAAACAGGCTGGGCTCTATCAATTGCAAATGGGACTGTTGCTTACATCAAGGAAACAAAATACTAGTCTAATGGCTAAAACAATAAAATTTTAATGAAGAATAATACTCATAAAGAAAAAAGGGAAAAAAAAAATATGGTAAGTGCTACTCAAGGATGGAAAAACAAAAAAGCACAACCAGAAAAGACACAGTCAGGAATGAGACAGAAAGGACATTGATGATCTTGAGATTAAAGGAGTGAACGTTGCCCTTTACTCTGTGACCGACGTGTCACCAGATGACCAAGATAAGATATATGATACTTGATTCAAAGAACCTCTAAACAATGCTTGCTGCAAGACCCATGGAAGCTATAAAAAAAAGCTAAAAACCTTTGACAAAAAGAATATATTTTACCTTTCTATTCAAATCATAATCCAAATGTATAAAGTCTTAGCAATACCTTTCTTTTCACAACTGGTTATTGTTTCTAACGTTTTAAATTATTTTTTGTGTCAAAACTAATGTCCTTGGGATGAAAAATAAGACAGAAAGTATCGTTCTCACTTTGTACTTACTTCCATTATCGTGATTGTGTGAGGTAAACAACAAACACTTCTAAATATTTTTTTGTCTATTTCCTTATTATTTTGGACATTTTGAATGGCCAAGTTTTTCTCAAGGAATTCCTTCATGTGGACAAATGGTCTAACATACAGTTAGTTGCTCAATTTCTGCACATACCTAGTTTAAGAACAGAAAATAGCCCCCCCTTCCTCCTTCTTCACCCCACTTTATTTACTGAGTATGATGTCATATGGAATGGAGTATCACTTTGGTCAGTTTGGGTCACCTATCCCAGCTGAGCACAGGTGTTGTGTCTCCTCCCAAACTCCCTTGCACCCCCAGCTTCCTCACCAGGGTGGCAGCACAAGAAGCAGAAAAGGCCTTGGCTCTGTGTAAGCCCTGCTCAGCAATAGCAAAAACACCTCTGTATCATCAACCCTGCACAATCCAAATCAAGCACAAATACAAATCACAGCCCCATACCAGACACTGTGAAGAAAATAAACTCTATCCCAGCCAAAAACAACACAAATTGTAAGCCTTCCTGGTATTATTGATGAGAATAGCAATGGCACCACAGCACACAAAGATCCAAACTTAAAGTCTCTCCCACCACTGAATTCTGGGTAGTCTTTCTCAGAGCTGTCAATATTCTCCTCTAAAATCACTTTTGACCAGTAAGAGTTGGAATAGGCATCATGGAGGAATCTTTTTCATTAGGTCCAGAAAAAAAGGTCTATGTGAGGAACATTAGGGAATAAAATTATTCAGAAGATCCTCTATCCATCAGTAGCATATAATATACATCATATTCTAAGCACACCTGTATATGTTAATTAGGGAACATCAGTATTATTATCCAAATAAAATATGAAGAGGCTGATGACAGAAAAAACTACCTGAACTTAAATAACATATTGAGTAGAAGTGATCACAATCAGCAAAATAGTTATGATTTCAGGCACAAAGCCTACATTCTTTCTCTTGAAAAATACTACTCTATACTGTACATGTTTATTATTTAACTCTACTTAGGGTAAATGCATATTGTGTACCTCAATTATATATTTACTTATATATCACTCTCTCCCTTCATATTTCTGCATGGATATAATATAAAAACACTTTCAGAGTTAAATTGTTGCTGCTAACAAGGGTTTGGGATTTTTTTATTATCACATTATCTATTATATCAATTTCCTGGCAAAATTAAGGAGAAAAAACGAAAGGCAAGAGAGTCAGTCTGTCTGTCCTGCTCCCTAGGGTGACAGTTGTCTTTTTCAGAGACTACACACGTAGCTGAGGAGCAGTCACAACAACTAAGTACTGAACCCAACAGGCGAAATCAGAACAAACAGCAATAGGAGAAATAAGTTAAACAAAAAAAGGTTAATTACATTCAATTTGTTCTCATGAAAGACCAAAAATAGGAAATAAAATATGGTGGAATACAAGAGTGGAGGAAAAAAAACAACTATTTTAGTATACTACATGTGAAAGATACTATATACATCTAACTTATTTCAAGCTCTCAGAATAAATGCTGTAATGAGGTCATATCTGGGCAGCAGAAAAAAGCTGCCAGATTATACTGCTCTGGCTGCCAAATTCCAAGGCAGCTGGAGGTCTCTCACATGCGCATGAGGATATCATCTCCATGGAAACACCTGAGCAACAGCACTCTCATCTTTCTCTTCCCACCATATTTAAAGATTTCTACCAGTGTCGTTTATGAAAAAATTAAATTCATTGAATGAAACCGTTTTTATTTTTTTTGTACCCATAAAACCTAGTCACTGAGGTTGAGAGTTTTCTGGTACCTTTTGGTATAATCACATCAAGAAAAAGGGAGGGAAGCTCCCGCTCCAGTCTCTGGCTAAACCAACTCCTACTGCATTAGCACAGATAGAGTAACAGTTTGAAACAATACAAGTAACACTGATGTAAACCACGGAAGGAAAAAACATTTATACTAATGACAGTAGCCAACAGCAAGAAACTGAGAAACCATGAAAAGGCTCAGGCCATTACACAAAGATTTCACTGTCCTCAATACTATATACTGCAAGTACAACCAGATGTTTTAATTCAGTAGTCTGAACAGATGTTGCCTTCCATTAATCTGCCTTTTTGAGTTCTATTTTGAATTTGCTATAAAGTTAGTGACCACAAAAGAAATATGGTAACATTCTGCACAGCACAATGACTGTAATTTGACAAAGTTGCAAGCACATGGACAAACTCTGTCACACTGCGACTGTCATGTCCCACATTTTTTCAGTGAGAAGGAATGAAAAACACACACTGGCTATGACCATCTGAAACCAACAAAAGACTTCTCAGTGCTGCTTCAAAACTCCCAGTATGTACTTTATAGACTACAGAATAAAAATAAGACAAAATTTTAAAAGATAAAACCAAATTTGTAGCATAAATTCATCAGATCTTACCAGGATAATTATTGAATACTTTCTTACCTGTCTGATGTGTCACTTGTTACTTGATGCTTTACTGTTGAACCATTCTTAATTGACTCTTGTCTTGTGAGCCCTTGAGATCTGTTTTTGTCCAAAGCTTGTGTGGATATGTCACCTGAAGGTCCTTGGTACTGCGGATGCTCCTGCAGTTTTGCTTTCTTCTCTTGAGGTGCTTCCTCATTCCTCAGAGCTCGAATTCCTTCTTGGTCTGGCTGCTGTGGTGCGTGGGATCCGCTGTTATAGAACCAGGCTCCTGATTTTGTGAGGATTTCTTGTTGTTTTCGGCACAAGTTACATACCCACATTACCTGTTCAGACATATTTAAATGTAAAATCCATTAGCTTGGAAACACTGTCTCTACAACATTTACAGCAAGCACACATCATCTGACTGTTACCATCTCCAAAGCAGAATGACTGCAGTTTTAATTCTATTAAAATTACAATATCTTAGTGACAATACAATAAAATATGCCAGTACAACCTTGCATTAACTAGTTTTGGGGAAAAAACAAAAATACTTTTAATCTTTTTTTTTCATTATTTGTAATACAAGGGAAAGCAACAGATAGTAGCAATCTAAATGAAAAGGTTCTATTGGTAATAAATGTAAGCTTTGAAAATTAGCACTGTAATTTGAGGATGATAGAAAAAATTAATTAAAAAAATCATTAAACTTTTAATCCATCTTAATTCTCTCACTAAGAGTAAGGAACTTTAGAAAAGGTCATCTGCAATTGCAAAAAAGTAATTTTATAATTCTCAAAAATGGTCTGCTGATTTACTTCCATGGTGGACTATATCCGATGCTTGAATAAAGACACTGACTTCAAGAAGTGACTTCAAGTTCAGAGCAATTTTAAATCAAAGCTGTTTTATAACTAAAGTAATGTATAAGGTGGTGTTTCTCTCCACTTCGCACCCACAATTTAGCTTTCAATATATGCTTACTAAATTATTAAAATAATTGCAGCCTCCCAGTTGAGTGATCCAGCATATAGTACTGAGATTTTTTTGATATTCTAAAATGTACTTCTTTGCAAAGCTTTTGTATCTGATCACCTTAGTCACATGGCAATTCAGGAAATCAACACCAATTACCTGTAAGTTAATTTCATAATAACATTCAGTTATTATGCAATATGAGAATAAATCAGAATGCAGGGAATCAAATACAAGACACAGGTCATGAACACATCGGACCATTCAATTGGTTTATTGATTATTGTGTTACCCTAAAATTTGGATTGTAGATAGTATTAATTCACCAGAAGCTTCATCCTTCACTCTTTAATCTTAATTTTTCTTAAGCCTTAGCTTCCTTTTATTTTTCTTCCTCTTCCCTTTATATATTTTTGTCTGAGTTCACAGAGAAAATTGTACTGGTTTTACTATATATTCCTTGAATGTCTACACTCAGCCTTGAATCTAGTTCTCATGTCTCCAGTTCTAATCCTACAGCAAGCTGCAGTATTTTAGTGCTTTAGAGTACAGGACATGCAAAGGCTTACATCAATATTCATCACTCTTTCAAAAGCAGCCAGCTCCATGGAATCACATGGAAGATACATCTACAATACATCTAGCTCAGTCCTCCAGAAAAGGTTTCAGAAGTTGCAATCTCTATCTTGCTTTCATTCTCCAGGCTGTAATCTAACAGATAATTTGGGCCATGCTCTCTAGTCCAGTCTCACAAAAAATCTTTCAATGAGAGCTTCATATAAAAGCTTACTTGGATTCAAGTTTCATACTCAAACTAAAGTCACCAACTGCCTCATTGTCATCAAACTGTAGGCTGGGGGAGGAAAAGGAGGCATCACTTGCCCGTTTAATGGTGGTGGTATGCCCCATCCTAGTAAACTTCCTTCTTAGCTTTTTATGGGGCTGATATCATTTATGAGAACTCATGCTTGCTTACATCAGCAAGACAGAACAAACCACCAAAGCACTGAAGGCAAAAAAGAGAGACTCCTCAAGTAGCACTTTGCCCTCTGAGGTATGTTAGATGTCCTTAGAGGACATTCAAAGGTCAAAACTGTGTATGCTTCAGGCCTGGACATCATTCAAATACAAATTTAAGAACAGGTCTGTTTTACCTTTGCTAATTAACCTAGAAAGTACATGAGAAAGACCCAAGGTTAAATTTCAGAACCCAAGACAGAAGTATTTTTCCCTCTTTACTCAACTGCAATTAAAAGACTTAAATATTTCTGCTAGGTCTGTACACAGCTGAAAGTAGCTCTAAACTTTCCATGTATGTGTCAGAGCACTGAAACAACCAGATGTGAAACAATTATGTAAGTATACAAATATATAACAACTTGAATGACAATGAGATAAAATCCCCCAAAGTTCCCATTTGCTATTTTCACTTCTTTTAGGAGATGGTAAAATATCAAAAAAACTAGATACTACAGTCAAAACACTTGGGTAACTTTTTCCTTGGCTGATATAATTTTGTCTCCAGACAATGGGCTCCAGAATGACCAACATTATTCTCTTGTACCCAACAGAATATGAATTCCTTCTGAATCAATATAATTTCCTATCATTACCTCTAAAAGTAGAATCAGGAAGAGTACTCCTGACCTGAATTGATTCCTAAAATGTTTCTTTAGAGTATTTCAGATTGAAAACAAAATCAAACACATGGCATTTAAAATGCATGGATTTATGAATTTCGCAGATTTTTTTTTTCTTGCTTTTCTATGAGGGTTTAATGATAATTACAGGTCACTTCTGATAAAGCCTTATTTCCAAAATAACTTCAACAAGCAGGATTTCATAGTGTTAACCCTAACATAATTTAGCTTCAAGTATTCACACACAGTGAGAAGAATGGAAACTGTCACACACAGAGAAATGTTTGTGCTTTCAGTGAGCACAAAAGTTACAAACCCTCAAACAGTAATTGCCAAAATTGCCCTCCCCATCTTATTGCGGCACGTAGAAACATTCTTGCAATTTAAAAAATGCCGGTAATTTATAGTGCAGACCTCTCAATTAAATGAGACACACTTGTAGGATGGTGTCATAAGAGCACAGATGGGAAGGTGGCATGCTCCTGGACAGGATTTCTCCTCCTGCCCCCGGGTGCCTGGGACACAGTGCTCAGCAGCTCACACATGCAGAGCAGCTCTGTCCCTGCCAGGTCCCTGCCAGGACAGAGCGTTTACTGGGATGTGACAGCAGCACTGCAGAGAAGCAAAGACCACACGAGTGGACTGCATACTCAATAAATGCATTTTGACAAACCTGCGAGGAGAAAACACAGAATTTTACCTTCTAAAATGGAAATATAAAAAGACTAATCCCTTACATCTGAAATCTGCAGTCCAGGGTAGACACACTACTACACCCATTCACAACTCTCCCAACCACCTTCCTAAAAACAGTCATGAGCACATTTTGTACACAAAAATCAGTGCTGCAATTTTTGAGTGTCAATCCTCCACACGAGAACGCTGCCAATTTGAAAAGGAAAATACGGGGGGAAAAATCTCCACTCCAACTAAGTACTAGTTCAGAACAGGAATCCCAGCTGCCTGTGGCACAGGATCGGGATGTGCTTTGCCATAGGAAAGGCTGAAACACCACCTAGTGCACACAACGGGCATTGCTGAAGTTCAGTTCAAATCGACTTCTCACTGCTGAAAAGAGCCCACTAAACATACCTGACATTTTCACATTACCTCTTGCATCCATTTTTTCAAAGAATAATTTCTTTTTTTATATACAACACTGAAAATAAGTATTCCAAGTTTGGATTAGACAGATTTACCTTAAACCTTCCATCTGCTTTCCATTCTTAAAGGTTAGTTCTATGCAGTGAACTAGTAAGTTCTAACTTGGTTTTGATTTCTTCACTATTTTTGGTAAGATTATTCATAATATGCTCCCAGTTCTAACCCTGCCCAGAAGCTTTCATCACATTTTATTAGCACTTATTTTTACATGGGCCCATAAAACAAATTCTACAAAACCTACAGTAATCAGCCATTTCACATCTACATATCAGAAATAAATAATGCACAAAAAATCCCACTTCTTTGTATTGTCTTAAAAATGATATTAAATTTTTTTGATCTTGGATAAAATTCTTGAAAGCATATTGGACAGACCACTTTAACTTCAATAAATGGGAAATGTATTTATCAAGAAATTACATCCACAGATATTTCAAATGAAAAAAAAAAACAATTTAGTAAAAGGATATACTGTAATATTCATTTTAGTATTTTCAGATAGATCATGTGAAAAGCTACCTTAAAAAACACCATTCACTTTTCCTGTAAGTACAGTTATAGATGGTCTAACACTAAATCCCGAAAAGAAAATGGAAACCTTACTTAAGATTAGATTAAAAGACTCAGTACATTTGATTACACATAAGCTTGAGTTTGATAGCTTTGACACTACAGCCTAAGAAATAATTACACCAAATCCTCATCAGCCTTTAGAACATTAGAATTACACGTGTGCTGAGGTGAAAAATTGTGCTGGAAGGCTTTCACAATATTTCATTAAATCTATTAGAGTTCACCTGCTTAGCAGAAGCATCTAATATATATATAGGCATTATATTAACTGCTGTGCTTGCTGCTAGTAGTCTTAAGCAAATTTCATATGTTTTTGTTGGTTTTTGGCTCTCATATTTCATGTAGGATACAATTCTTTAAAAATTATACAAGATTACAAGACAACAGATCTGAAAGGAAGGAGGAGACAAAAGGAAGAGTAGAAAAACTCTGATTGGGTCATTAAGGTAACTAATCATGATTAGAAATACATTACTGCCAGTCTTTTTTCCTTTTTTTTTTCCCAGTTTGTCACCAGTACAAAACTTCATTACATCATGGAGCAGTGCAATGCTTGAAGCCATCCTGGACTAAGGAAGTTTCATCAGGGACACAGTACATCTCTCTCCATTAGTCACTATGTTGATGACAGGCTCCCAGAATCATTAGGGTTAGAAGGGACCTCTGGAGATCATGCAGTCCAACCTCTCTGCCAAGGCAGGGTCACCTGGAGCAGGTGACACAGGAACGTGTCCAGGTGCGTTTGGAATGTGTCCAGAGAGGGAGCGACATCCCCGGGCAGCCTGTTCAGTGCTCTGCCACCCTCAAAGTTAATGAGTTGTTTCTCATGTTGAGGTGGAATTTCTTGCATTTTAAATTGTGGCCGTTGCTCCTTATCCTGTCACTGGGCACCACCCAAAAGACTCCACATGCCAATGTGGAATAGACCCTGCCAAACCAGCACTGGCACTGAGTAACGTGAGTCACCTTCCTCCGTGCGGTGACGGAAA